GGAATGCCCCGCGGGTGGGGAAGGGGTGGGCTGGGGCCATCCTGCCTCCGCCATCCCCATCCCCAGCACCCAGTGAGCAGCTGCCCGCACTCCCCATCTAGGCAGGGGTCCCCTGCCCCCGAGCTGGGGTCCCCTCTGCGACCCTGGGGCAGGCAGCCTGGGTTGTAGGCACCCCAACCTCTTGCGGTGCAAAGAGCCCCTTTTGTCACCTCTGCTATTGCTGTTGGGCTGGGAAATGGGTGATTCGGGCTGAGACAGGAGCATACCCAGTGGGGGGGGGGATGCTCAGAGCAAGGGTGATGCTCCTGCGGCATGGGCTCGGTGCTGGGGGCTTCACTCCGGGCGTGGGTCCCTCTCAGCGGTGCTCCACACCAGTCCCTTTGCCGAAGCCTGAGCCGCCATCCCTGTTGGTCTGTGCATCCCCCCAGGCTGATGATCCCTGCTGCTGCCCTGGCCAGCCGCCTGCCGTGAGCCTGGGAAGGTGGCGATGGATGGGTTTGGGGGAGCCCCCAGGTTCCTGGCCTATCCACGTGCCTTCACGGTACAAAGTGGTGCTGACGCGGTCCTGAGCTGCCAGATCACAGGTGACCCCCGGCCAAGCATCCTCTGGGAGAAAGACAAGACCCCGATCGAGCCCTCGGGCCGCTTCCATGTCGAGGCCAAGGGGGATCTGTACAGCCTGCTGGTGTCCCATGCCACCCCCCAGGACAGCGGGCTCTACGTCTGCAAGGCCAAGAACAGTGTTGGCGAGACCTACGCTGCTGCCACGCTCAAGGTGGAGGTGGGGGAGCCCCGGGAAGAGGGATGCTCAGATGGTGAGGTGCTCACCTTCCTCGTTGCCCCCTCGTCCACACGGGTGTGCCGGGGGGAGGATGTGATGTTCGCCTGCAGGGTGTCCGGGCAGCCCTGCCTGGTGCTGGAGTGGGAGAAGGATGGGCGCAAGCTCTCCGACCTCTTTGAGAGCAGCCACTTCGCGGTGGGGCAGGAGCCGGAGGACTGGCACTTCCTGAAGCTGTTCGGTGCCCGGCCACCGGACGCAGGGGTGTACGTGTGCCGTGCACGCAGCGGCTCCCAGGAGGCCCTGGCTGCTGCCGTGCTCCTGGTCGAACCCCGGGCACCGCCGGATGGGCTCACCAATGGCTCTCCTGCTGATGGCCCTGAGCCGCTGGTGGAGCGGCAACAGCGGCGGCAGCGGCACGTGGCGGGACGGCACGCGGGACTGGAGATCGGAGTGCCCAATGGCACAGTGCCGGCCAGGTCGCCGGCGGCCAAGGCATTCGCCGTGAGTGCAGGGAAGCACGCCAAGTTTCGCTGCTATGTCACTGGCAAGCCCAAGCCAGAGATCATCTGGCAGAAGGATGGTGAGCCCCTCGCCCCCAGCCGCAGGCACCTCATCTACGAGGACCGGGAGGGCTACTTCATCCTCAAGGTGCTGTACTGCAAACCCCAGGACCAGGGGCTGTATGTCTGCACCGCGTCCAACACTGCTGGCCAGACCCTCAGCGCGGGTTACATCAAGGTGAAAGGGAGGAGCATGGAC